GAGAACATAATCCATAAAAATAATTGACACAACCGAACATACTCATAGATGTTATAATTAACACTAATCAGTTTCTTTTTACTCCACTTTGTCGGATAAAGTCAAAGAGTTGAGTGGGAAAATTTCATACATTTAAGATTGTGGATACTGATAAAATAAAATAAAATAAAATAAAATAAAATAAGATAAGATATCATTTAATAATGACATGTTAAATGTTCTGAAGTATTGAATTTTTTTTCTAAAGTTTGAGTGATAATCATAAACAATTTTCATTATAATAACAATCAAGAGATAGAGTCTAAATATATTTATAAACTGTAACCACCAAATTGTTATATATTTATAACAATTTTTCACCTGAATTTGATGAAATTTTATACAATAAAAATTAAATTGTTACCAATTTGAAAGTAAAAAATTAAGAATCAAACGTATTATTTTAATTCTAAAAAATTATTTTGGATTTTGTTTTCTACATTTAAAAAATTATCTAACCTATTATTTTTTTATTTTATTTATATATATTTTTAAGAAATGTTTCTACAATCATACACAAATGTAAGTAAAAAGTAAAATAAAGGAATTATGAGAACAACGAACTGAATCAAAATAAGACTGAAAACAAAACAATTTCCTTGAGAGAGAATCTCCAATATAATACTAGTACGAAACCCTACTTACTACCGGTTATAATACTTATATTTGGAACTCAAACAGGATTATATATATATATTTATCTGACCATATCAATAACATTTAAAAAGAGTACTAAAAATTACTCTATAACATCATATAAATCTTGAAACACTATATGTATAACTCAAGCTACTCTAAAAGAAAAAATATTTGGGTGTGGATAATTTTTTTTTTTTTTTTTTACTGCTCTCAATTCAATAGTTCAACCACTAGTTATCACGTGGAAAAATGTAGTTCCCTCTTAGTCTAAAATATTGTCCTTTTAGATATATTATCAAAATTAATAGAGATAGTCTTTCAAATTGCATAGTTCGTAGAACCTACTATAAATGTTATGGGTCAGACAAATGACTAATTGGGTTTCCAAAGTAGCTGTCATTATGATATATGAATAAATGTACAACTATATTTTACTTAACTCTTGAAAATCAATAGAACACCATAAATATATCATTCTTCTTACATACATTTTAATTAATGCATATGTTTCTAAAGTTAGACGATAAGAAAAAATATCTTTTACATTTGATGATGATAATCTTGCCTTGAAATTTTGAAGTGTCGCATTATGAATAAATAAGATATTGAAATATTAAATTAACCATAACCATAACCATAAAAGCTAAAGATAATTAACTTAATTGTATTATCTAAGCTGCAACAACATGCATGGATATGTAAATGATTCTTTCTCATATAATTTACATATATTCCCAAAAACAAAGGGTTGCCTCTAACCATCCCTGATAACTCACTACATAAACAATAAATCTCAATAAATAAAACACAATTAGACTTGATTTTGAATAGCGTTTGGGAAGAAACTCTTTAAGGAGTGGGTTTGATTACTCTTAGTAGGTAGAGAATTTGGTATAAAGAAGGTTGTAGTTGGAGGGCTTTGTAGGTCCGTTATTGGGTGTGTGAATTTGCAATTGGGGCATGTGGGTGAGGACTTCAAAAGCATAACCAATAAGTGACACTGCATGCAAACTCTGGCCTCCATCTCTTGCTGCTGCCCTCTTTCAAATCTTAACCATGGAGGACACCCATTTCCTTGTTTCAAACCCTTCCCCAACCCACCACCCATAATCCCATCGCTCTTCTTCTTTGTCTGACCACCGTTTCTGATAGATTGGCAATTCAGATTGAGCTCAAGGTCCAAGCTCAAGGGCTCACCTCCAAGACTGTTGGAACCCTCCCATTTTCTTCTTGGATCCATTGAGGTTCTCTTTTGGGTCTTGGTATTATAGAAATATATCTGTCCTGACTGTGAAACAAAAAGATGACCATCGGAATAGAAAGTTGTATAAATATATAGTTATCGATATAGAAAATGAAGAACAGAGAACAAAGTTTAGTACCTGAATATCCAGACATCGTTGCCACTCCAAAGGTAATGGAGTCTCGAGCTGGAGCTCAATATCAGTGGGAGAATTGAAGGTTTCTCCTTGTGGGTCTTCCCATTTTCTCTTCATTTGGATTTGCAGAGAGAAAAGGGCTGAAATGAAAGGAGATATCTATCCGATCCCTGTGTGTGTGTGTGTGTGTATGTGTGTTAAAAAAGGGGTGAAAATGGTTACATATAATATGGAGGATGGGGTTAACTTTAAGTGCAAGGAAGAATCTAGTTGGAGGCAGGCTTTAAGGTTGATCTTGATGGTGTTTAACGTATGCATTTATGTCAAAGTTCCCAAAAATTGGTGAAAAACTCCGGCCAACGTCCAAACAGAGATATAAAGTTCACAAGCTCTCTCAAATTTTGATTAAAAGTTACTTATTATCTGATGAACGTAGTGCAAGGCCAAAGGAAAAATGGAAAAATATGGATTAGCTCCATAATCTCGTAATGTATTTATGAAGTCGGTGACATGGGGGGAGGAGGAAGGTGGGTATGTTGAATGGCAGCCATTAATGTGGGAAGTCGAGATGTAGTTGAAGGAAGGTCTTTGATGGCTATGGCATCTTTAATAGAGTCAATAACTCCCAACTTTCCTCAGCTGGCTTACTCAATAAACCTACAACACTTTTAAAGCTCTCACCATATGCATATCTACAAATGCCATTAAAACACCTATAACTCTTATAACGCTCACCTCCCAAAATTACATTCAATTCAATCTAGTTTTAGGAGAAAATTTTCATTTATTTGAATTCAATTAACCTAAATAAGGTCATAATCTAACTTGAACCGTAGAAGTTGGGTTGAGTTGATTGAATTTTTTGGATCATCGAGTTTTATTTGAACGCGGATATAAGTATATACTGAAGAATTTTGTGGACAGACAGAAACTTAACTCAGTTTGCAGAAGGAACGAGATATACTCTTTATACTGGAAAGGGATAATGTGAGGTCATTAAATGGTTAGATGGAAAAAGGGATTCGTTTCGGCTACCTGCCTTCATTTACTCATCATGAATTCACTTAAATGTTTGCTACTACACCTGACCATCTCTTCTCTCTCAACTTGGACTTCTTGTATTACTCGACCGGCCTTTGTGTGTCCTTCCCCTTTCATTTAAGCCCCACAGTTTCCTTAGCTTGCTGCAGCAGCAATGATCTGTCGCAACCCACCAAGCTCCGGTTTGAAAGATCTGCTTTTAAGTTGAGCAAGTTGCAGAGGAGTCCAGAACGAATCATTCATATAAGAGTATGAAAACCTCTCCCTAACTTAAGTGTTTAAAAAACCTTGAGGGAAAGTCCAAAAGAGGACAATATCTATTAGCGGTGGACTTTGGTCGTTGTAAATGGTATCAAAGTCAGGGCGATGTGTCAGTAAGAAGGCTAAGTCCCGAAGGGGGTGGACACTAGGCGGTGTGCCAGCAAGAATACTGACTTCAAAGGAGGTAGATTAGAGAGTCCCGTATCGATTGGAGAGCGGAGCGAGTGCCAGCGAGGATGCTAGGCCTCGAAGGGGGAGTGGATTGTGAGATCCCACATCGATTGGAGGAGAGAACGAAGCATTCTTTATAAGGGTGTGGAAACATCTCCCTAACAGACGAATTGAAAAAACCTTCAGAAAGTTTGGCTCTTACGGCAATAAGATTCCTATTCGCTGATAACGTGAAACCAAGTGGGCTAGAGTTTGATTTCAAATGAATTGAGTAATCCCAACCCAGAAAGGATTATCTTATTCTTTAATGGTTAAGGGATTAGGACACTTTTGAATGTTACAAAGTGATAGTGGTGGCAATGAGGAGAAATGAAACCAAGTGAAGTGAAAAGAAGACCATAAAGTGAAAATCACTTATGAATTTCATCTTTCAGAATGATTTATAAGTTATAAATGAACTATAAATGTTATAAATGAAATTTGTTTCTATTCATTTGATAATGATAAAAGAGATTTTCAAACTTTTTTAACATATTTTTATTTTTTATAAAGAAATATAAACGTATTAATTAATAATGAATGACGTATAAGACATAAAAACATTAATTTCTAATTTATAACCAAAAAATTTAAATATTCAACCTAAATATAGTTAAACGAACACGACTCTCCACAATGGTATGATATTGTCCACTTCAAGCATAAGCTCTCATGGCTTTGCTTTGGGCTTCTCCAAAAAGCCTCATACCAATGGATTCCTCACTTATAAACCCATGATCATTCCGAGATGTGGGACTTTCATCATCCAACAAATACATATCTATTACAACTATATTTATTACATTATTTAAAAATAAATAAAAATCCAACCAACTCGACATGCATACAAGGCAATATATATGGGAACATAGTTTTTATTTAAGTATAATAAAAGAACACCTACAAAAATTATGCTTTTATTCTTTTAAAAGTATTTATTTGTGTAGTCATAATTTTTTTTAAAGATAAATATATTATAGTATTGATTTATGTTGCCACTTGGCAAGCATGCACAATGGTAATTTCAATATTTTAAATATTTTATTTTTTTGTCCTTCCTTCCATAATTATCAATAAAAAATAAAAAATAAAAAACGTTAGTCTTGGCAGACTCTCCACCATGACACTTTGAGCATAAGCTCTCGTGAACTTTGCTTTGGGGTTCTCTAAAAGGCCTAATTTTAATGAATAAAGTATTTTTTTAATTATAAACACATGATCATTTTCTAAATTAGCGGTGACTTTCATCATCCAACTAGTCCCAATTTTTGTTTTTGTTGAAAGAAAAAAAAAAAAAAAATCATTCAAATATAACAAAATCTGTTTTTTTCGTTTACATTTAATTTGTTCTGAATTAGGGTATTATTATAAAATTTTAAATGATTTATTTATTTAAGGGTATTTATTGAATGTAAATTTTATCCTCCTTGAATTTGTGAGCATTACACGTGAACTTCATTCATTCATACTTGATGGCTGCACTCCTTGGCAAGCACATGTTCGTCTTCGTTCCATTTCCCACTCGACCCTGTTTCCCACAGCCGTGCTTCTTCAAGTTCGATTCGGCCCTATCCATCTCTCATCGAGCTTCTGTTTCAACCGTTCGAGCTACTTCGGCTACCTCCATGGAAACTAGGACCGAGCTATCGGTTTGTATTATCTGTTATCTTCTCTTGCTTGCTCTGTAAATTGAATTGTGTAGAATGGAATCTAGATGATTAGGCTCCGGTCGAAGCTGTTTGTAATTTCCTCTGCTTGGTGTTTGAGAGAATTGCAAAAGATATGAGATGATATATGCTGAGAATATATGCTAAGTGAAATGGCCGATGGTGTATTGAGGCGTCGTGTATATATGTTTTGTTGCGAAAAATCTAGGCGGATTTGAATTGGATTGAGTTATACTGAGAGTTTGAGTGATTCAACTACGTCAATTCTAAACTTCTTTCCGAAGATATAGCCCGGCGTAACGAAACATTATCAGGAACCTCTTCAAGGTTTGAGATCATTGTTTTCAGGTAGTGATAGAGGAAATGTAGTTCGAAGTTGGTTCTAGGTCTATTTGATTACATGTTCATTAATTCCTCGTGAAAGAAAGATGTTAAAGAATACGTTGATAAGATTAAATTAGTCACATGTGTGTCACGTAAGAGTGACAAGCATTTATTGGGAAAATAAAAGTTGACCTAACCTGTCAACTTTACCTTTTCGAATTGCAATGTTCTTTTTTCCTAGCTCTAATGATCTTCTGGTTTTTGCGTAGGACCCTGTTTTGATTGATAAGGAAGTCAACAACATTGAGAATATTTTAGCTTGTTCCGTATGTTATGGCCCATTGACTGCGGCAGCTGGTTCGGGACTTTCAGTGTATGTTTGAAACTGTATTGTACCTATTTTTGCTTTTCTTATTTCTTCTATTGCGTCTTAGTAATTGATGTGTCTTTATTTATATGCTTTTGATACAGGGAGTCCACAAAGGGATATCAATTGGAATGCGGCACATGTAAAAAGTCATTCACTGGCAGTGAATCTCATTTGGACTTGACGATATCCGCTGGAATTAACAATGAAGAATCCATGCCTGCTACCACAGAGATTTTTCGGTATTTCAATGTTGTCATCTGCTGTGTATTATGAAGGGGCACTTAATTAGCATGCTACTAAAATTTTCAAATGCAAAAGGCTTATGGTCTTGAGAGAAATTAATTTTGTTACAAATTCCATGTGATGGATCTTTATGCTAAATGTTAAAAGGCATTTTTGTTTAGAGCTAGAAGCTCGGTAAGCCATATACATGGGGACACCATTGCGCTACAATACAAATTGACAGAATCCAATATACACTGGGACATATTGGTGTACCTATCAGAGGTTTATGGAGGTCTAGGATATTTTCAGAAATATTTTTGCTTTTTGCCATGTTGGAATTAGGATTATATTGGTAGCTAGCTAGTCTTAGTTGTATTAATACAAATGAAGTTATGGGTGTTTGGTTGGAACTTGTGATACCTCTCCCTCGTTGCCTCCTTCCCCTTTTTTCTCATCTCATATTTATCAGCTTTTCACTGGATCAGGACTAGATTGGTGTCTTTTCTGTATGAGAGGGGCTGGCGTCAAAGTTTTTCAGCAATCCTTGGATTTCCAGGCCCAGAAAAGGAGGTGATGTCAGCTCTTTTATCTGTCATGTTATTAAACTGCCTACATGGTACTTTTTATGTAATATCAGCATGTAAGTATAGGCTCAACATTAGGAACTGGATTAGTCCATTAATACCAATGCAAAGTCAGAGGCATATCTAGTATTTTGTTTTAGAGTGTTTTATTACTGATGAAGAGGAGGCCCTAGTGCCAACCCCTATAACAATGTTGAGGTCCGCAAAGATTAGTGATTTTAACGTGTCTCTGTTTTCACGCTTACTAGACTAGTGGTGTCAGTTCAAGATGTAACCATGTTCCCAATACTAAGGACATGTTGATTTCATTGCAGTTCGAGTTTATAAAAAATTTCATCACACCAGTCTTAGGTGGAAACATAATTGATGCAAGTTGTGGAAGCGGAATGTTTTCAAGAATCTTTGCCAAGAGTGGGTTATTTTCTTCTGTTGTTGCATTGGACTACTCGGAGAACATGTTAAAGGAGTGTTATGCATTCATCAAAGAAGAGGAAAACTTCCCCAAAGAGTAAACAATATTTTCTTTTAGTTTTAGCTTTACATTAGTAGTTGTGGAATTGCTATAGTTCGAGGATCTTTGTGTTGCATATTTAGATTGTTGTTTGAGTTTTTAATCTAAATGAAAATTGTCATTCTTAGGAGCTTGGTTCTGATTAGAGCTGATATTGCTCGGCTTCCATTTGCTTCAAGTTCTATTGATGCAGTGCATGCTGGTGCTGCTTTACACTGCTGGCCTTCACCATCAGCTGCTGTGAGTACTTTTCATCTGTATCTGGGGGTTATAGGTTGTGATTTGACTTTTCATAGTTTCACTAATGAAAAACACACTGCACAAGCTGCAGTTTATTGATGGTTATTGCCTTTTTACTATAGTGATATGATTACTCATCTTCAAAGAAAATATATTTTAGTACTCTTTACTTCGCTTGTATGAGTGTTAAATGTGTATATTACTGGCACCAACATATACCCATAATTGTACTACAGATTCATCTCACTAAACTAATCAACGGATATGCTTTTGTGATTAACTGTGTCCAGAATGGTCTTGCAGGTGGCTGAAATAAGTAGAATTTTAAAACCCGGAGGAGTATTTGTTGGGAGCACTTACATAATCGATGGACCATTTTCTTTTATGCCATTTTTGGGGACTCAAATAGAGGTATATTCGCAATTTGTTTTAATTTTCCACTCTACAACTTCTGGGATTCTCCTTGGATGCTTCGGTAGTTTGATTACTACAGTTCATTATATATCTTTGCTTTTCACTCCTTGCTTTGAAATACTTTGATATTATCCATGTTATCAAGGGTGAGAATATTTGTTAAAACCACCCCACCTAAATAGTGGGGAAGTTATATGGTAAATTATAATTCATGACTAAAGCAAAAACAATCACATTAACTTAGGTAAGTTAACCATTGCTTAATGCTGCAACGTTGCATCCATATCGCTTACCAGAATTCTGGATTTTTGTTACGGTTTTTGCCTCTTACATTAGTAGTTAATCCTTAAACTTTGTATTGTTCATCTCTCTCCGCACAGATTGCAAAGAAGATAATAGGGGGCCACATCGTTCTATCTGAACGTGAATTAGAAGAACTCTGCACGGCCTGCGGTATGGTCGACTTTAGATGTTTAAGAAATAGGAGGTTTGTAATGTTCTCTGCTAGAAAACGCAGCTGAACATTTGGTTTGTGGTTTCCAGTCCTCTGGTTTTATTATAAAATTTCTTTTTTGGCGTTCAGAACTTCTCAAAAGTTGATGTTTTTTTTGAGGTATGTTGGCTGCTGGTTGTCCTACATCTGGTTGTAATATAATTTATCCATATATTTGCTTTATACCTTCTGTGACCTAAAGAAAATGACCAATTGCAGAAAAAGGAATTTTTTTTAAAAAATAAAAAAATAAAAAGGAATTCGCTAGAAGGAGGGCTTGAACCTCCGACCTTGTGGTTAACAGCCACACGCTCTAACCAACTGAGCTATTCCAGCGTTTGTTTTTTGGTAAAAATATTTATAATCTTAAAAAAGAAATATTTTATTAAAAAAGGATAGGTAAAAGTATTAATAAAAACGCTAGAAGGAGGGTTTGAACCTCCGACCTTGTGGTTAACAGCGACACGCTCTAACCAACTGAGCTATTCCAGCGTTTGTTTTTTGGTAAAAATATTTATAATCTTAAAAAAGAAATATTTTATTAAAAAAGGATAGGTAAAAGTATTAATAAAAACGCTAGAAGGAGGGTTTGAACCTCCGACCTTGTGGTTAACAGCGACACGCTCTAACCAACTGAGCTATTCCAGCGTTTGTTTTTTGGTAAAAATATTTATAATCTTAAAAAAGAAATATTTTATTAAAAAAGGATAGGTAAAAGTATTAATAAAAACGCTAGAAGGAGGGTTTGAACCTCCGACCTTGTGGTTAACAGCGACACGCTCTAACCAACTGAGCTATTCCAGCGTTTGTTTTTTGGTAAAAATATTTATAATCTTAAAAAAGAAATATTTTATTAAAAAAGGATAGGTAAAAGTATTAATAAAAACGCTAGAAGGAGGGTTTGAACCTCCGACCTTGTGGTTAACAGCCACACGCTCTAACCAACTGAGCTATTCCAGCATGCTTGTTTATGTATTTTGTTGTTCTTATAATTTTCGTTTATCCACTTTCAAATGTTCTTTAATCATATAAATATTAAACATAGTTAAAACTGTCAATTTATTGCTAACATTTTTTTTATTATTATTATTAAAAAACATTTCAATCTCTATTAACATTCCTTTTATAAATTTTGAAAATATAGTCACTTGAGAGAATATAAAATTTATTAAATTTAAAAACTAATAATAAAATTTATTAAATTACTAGCCGCTCAAACAAAAATACCAAAATAATATTTTAACCAAAAATATGTAAGAAATGCTATTAAAAAAAAAGGATTAAACCTTTTAACTACGCTCTAGCAGCTAGAAGGAGGGCTTAAAATATAATGCAAAGGCTAGAAGGAGGGCTTAAAATATAATGCAAAGGCTAGAAGGAAAAGAAAAAAAAATGTTCCATAAAATAACGCTAGAAGGAGGGCTTGAACCTCCGACCTTGTGGTTAACAGCCACACGCTCTAACCAACTGAGCTATTCCAGCTTGTTGAAGAGGCATTATTTATTATTTTAATTAAGTTTTACATTCTGTTTTGCTCACGGCTTCCATTGACACGCTGAATGTATTCTCTTGCAATTGTGACGATCATCTAATATTTGACACCCTTCACAAGTCCTGTACATAAAATGACCTCTTAGGCAACAAGTCAAGAACAACACAAAGCACCCAACAAAATTCCAGAGAACAATAAAATCAGCAGATAGCAAAGCCAACAAATTGATGAACAAAACAAATGAAAGAAACAAAAACGTCAAGTTTATAGACTTGGACTACTATATGTTGGTGTACATCCACTCCAGTCACTTCCAATATGTTGACTCAAGCAGCTCAAGCTGTACGAGCAATACGGACACAATAATTGGCTCAATCAAACCATTCTCAAAGCCTCAGATAGAGATGATAAAGCCCCTTACAGAGCTCGCCTTGAATCCCCATTACAAACAAAATTCTCAACCCTCCCTCTCAATCGCTACACCCTATAAGGATATAAGGGTTCTAATACATTTTTAACCCAAATTTTTCGTCTACCCACCCTGACCTTATATAGCTAAGCTACCCTATTTTGTTGTATACCATGCTACTTTACCATATAAGAAACCAAATTGATACAAAACCATCAAAATTATTAAATTTTTGCATACGAGTAATATAACATGAAACTAAAAAACTCACTTGTGTGGTGTGGCAGGGATAAAAACCAAAATGAGAATGTGAATTTAGGAAGAGAGAGGAAGAGATACTTCAACTCCTGGAAAGAAGCACGGTCCTCCACAATGGTATGATATTGACAACTTTGAAGACTTTACTTTTGGGTACCCAAAACACCTCATATCAATAAAGATAATGTGGGACTCCTCTCCCAACAATCCTCAACACTCCCACTCCCACCACACCGTCCTAGCCGAATCCGGACCCTTCATAGTTACACACCCTCCTCTCTCTTGTAGATTAAGAGGTGGCTTAACAGGTTTTGTAAAGAACCAGTATATATTATAGAACTTGAATACAGAACAGAGAACGAATGTATCCGATCTGATGCCATCTGCACAACTTTTACTTCTGTTAGTAGGAATCAGACACGCCTACAAGAAAAGCTTGGCAAAGAGCTTATTATGAACTTACCCAATCACGTTCTATAAACAAGAACTTAGTAAATATATAACACATTTTATATTCCTTCCAATGACGAAAACAAATAAGAATAGCGACTGTGTTACAACAATATGAGGAGACGAGTTTGACTCCACTGTACAAATTTGGTTGAACATATGCATGTAAAAACTGCAAGAGCACTCATCTTCGGTTTTGAATTTCAGAGAATTCCATAAATAAAAATTATAATACTTCCCGACCATCAAGATTGAAGCCCAGTACGTGAAATGGAGTAGCTTTTCTGGTCTCAGAAAATACATAACAGAGTACATTCCCTCGGAAGGCTATTGTTTGAGAAAATTTGAAAATGTCCACTGGCTATAAAGGGCTGTCTTTTCGTCATCATCGAAATCTAGATCATCCTCTTCTTTATAGTCCATATCATTGACTTCTCTGTCTCTAGCATGTAGCTCACCTGACTCTGATAAATGAACTTGAGAGAATGGAGAACCTGAAGTTGGCCATTCAGAAGTTATTTGTTGCATCTCTGATTCAATTAAAACTTCCATACGTGCTCGTTCTCTATCTCTTGGATAAGTGCAATACAGAAACGAGTATATAAAACAACAGAGAGCCAATGGAATTCCTATTGCTGTGTACAATGCCCGGGCTAATGATGCTGCATTCCCCCTATCTGTGGCAATCTCTTCAGTCTCACTAGATCCTCTCTTAACGGGCTTATATCCATAGACATGCTGAGCCAGAATCCCAACAATAGGAGGAGCAAATGATGACAAAATAGATTCCAAAGATCGATCTAAAGCATAGACACTTGTCCGAGATTTTTCGGGAACTATCTCTGCAAAAATAGGACTGCAAAAAAACAATTCAAATCATAATTTGAAGTCAATATTGCATATCTGCTTCTTTCATGCTTGAATCATGAGTAACATACACGTCAACAAATTCTATAAGGCTGTATTAACATTCTATGCTTGATGTGCATTTTTCTAGATAACGTTCATAAGTAAATGACATCTATCCTATCATCACTAATGATGGTAATTATCCTCTAGGATGTATTTGTTTTCTCATAAATCAAAACACATTGGTCCTTCCAGATTCTAGGCAAGACTAGTTTCCTTATAAGCCAAAACTACCAAATAGGAATCTTTTAGTTTTGGCGAAAACCTATTGTTCGAAGGAAGAATTGCTTATTAACTAATTTTCGAAGGAAAACTAGATATTGTCTTTTCAATTTCCAAGTAATTGTCCCGCCTGGATTCCTCATAGACTGAGATAGATGATGGCAGTAAGTTTGACACTTACTTATTTGTAGCTGGAGCATTCCAAGAAATGAAAAACCCCACAATGAGCAAGACTAGTCCATGGAGAACTGCTGTAAATGGGCCATCAGGCAAGAAGAGCAGAAGAACTGCAGCTAGAGGAATGCCTGACGCTGAGCTGATTTGTGCCAGAATAATCCTCCCGGAATCTGGGAAACGTGTGGAGAGGATATCTCCCATTTTACCTCCAAACAAGCCTCCAAGAGAGTTTCCAATCACAAACAGGCCCATCAGAAAAGCAGTCTTCTCGTGGGAGAAGCCCTTGAGTTCCAACCACATTGTTGCAAATGACAAGGCTGACCAGGGAAATGAACCTGTGACACCCTGCGCTACTATGATCTGAAAGGATGGAATCCTTATAACTGATTTTGATTCCTGTACCAAGTCCTTGACTCCAGACCAAAAGGAATTATGGGGTGGAATACGATTACCAGTTTTTATGCCGTTGTCTGAAAAATGTGGATCATGTGCAAAGAGACGGACTAGAATGCCAACAACAACACTGATTAGTCCAACAAGATGAAATGCAATTCTCCAACCAGGGATTCCCATAATTGTTATTGGAGCTATTATTATTGAACACAACCCGCCAATAATGGAGCCTAAGTTGCCAGTCGTTTGAAGCCATCCAAAAGCCAAACCACGGTTATGGTCATCTGTTGAATCTGCGACGAGGGACTGGATGGCAGGTGCAACTAATGCAAGGCCAATCCCATTCAATGCTCTTGAAACAGCGACCTGTTTGGTACAATCTGAATGACTTATAATCAGCTAATATTTAATTCCAGCATAGGTAAATCTGCAACACATTAATATATTGACAGCTAAAAACTTAACTTGCTAACTTTTTGTTGACTTTAACACAATTTCTAAACACCAAAGGAAATTGAAAATTTATTGTCCATAAGTCTGCGCAGCCTTTCCCTCTTCCAACAAATCATCCAAAATGTTTACGCATTTCAAACATATATTAATCTTTCACATAAAAGGCCAACGTGCTGAGATTTTCGCATCAATTTCTTTATTGCCCATAGACATCTGGGAACAGAATCGGCAAAGAGCGAAAAAAGCCCACTTGATAACAAAATTGTCGATATCACTTTCTCAGTCCCCAATTTCTTACTAATCTCTTATTTTACCAAGATCCGTTGTCGCAAAGTTTTAGTGGCACAATGAGAGATAAAGTAGTCAACGATTTAATATTTCACGTGATTCAGTGACAAGAAAAAACATCGATTCTGACTCTTCATGGTCTCACTTCTTTTCATTCCTTGCTATATGCTTTCAAGTAATTGCAAATGTATTTTTGCATGCGCTGATAAGAATGATGCAATTTACAGAGAAAAGTACATTTCCAACCAGAATTGAGCAAAGATTACGCCTCACTAAAAATGTCAAGGCAACACATCAGTTCATGGTTTCGACCAAAAACAAAAAAAAAACCATTAAGTACGCTCATTCAAAATCTTCATATGAGATCTACTTCATAATATTTTACAACTTTTCTCTAGCAAGTGGATAAAGCGAAATTGACGTGGTAAAACAGTAATTTACATGGCTTATTATTTTTACGCGTTCCAGGACCGTTTAATCGTTACAATTCCAACTTTCCATTTTTGATCACTACATCAATATTCATGAACGAACAAGGAAGAGAAATACGTTGTATTTCAATCGATTCGTTCAACAGCCCTAAACTTCCATTCGTTTTCATACGTACGCAATAAAACAGAATATCCGGAAGCGAACACACAAACAAGCGAAAAGAAGGAAACAAAATTGGCGAGATCAAAACGGGGGAGAATGTAGCATTATCTAGGGCTACACGACAATGAAATGAAAAAAAAAAAAAATCAGGAGAAAGAGTAGAATTGGATGAACCTGAAGGAATGTAGAGGAAAAGGCAACGAGAAACGTAGCGGCAGCCCAGAGGAAAGCGCCGAGAGCAATCACATGAGCTCGGTTATGGCGCACGGCCAAATAAGCAGCCAAGGGATAGCAAGAGGCCTGAACGATGGATCTGAAGAGAGTCAAGGAACCGAGACCAGTAGGACCGGTGTGCAAGGCGGCACCGACCTCTTTGTAGACACCAGGTAACAGAGATTCGTCGGCCCTCTCCATTACTCCGGCGAGGTTTACCAGAATCAATGTCACCGTCTCGGACTTCATCTCGGTCCCTCCCTGGGCGCCCGCGAATTTAGGCCAGAATTCGTAGTTGACACCCGCTTTTATATGCCAACTGGATTCCCTCCCTCCAATTGCATGTTCCAGTCCCTCGTCTTTAATTAGTCTTTTTCCTCCTCCCATCTCCTAAAATAAATACTTTTTAGTTCAATAAGTAATAAATACCTATTTTTAAATTCATTAAATAATTCATTCTCCATAAACATTAAACATTTAAATTCTTTATATTTATATATATATATATATATTAGAGAATATTCCTAAGATTATTTTTAATTTTTTATTATTATTTTATCTTTATCCGGTAATTAGTCTCTCGCTGTCTCGAATTCCATAATACACCAAAATTAGAATATCCGTTGCCTCTCCACCACGCCAACCTGGTGGAATGTGTGGTTTTTATCGGGTGCGAACACATGTATTCTATACAACGCCGCAAGACACTTTTGGGCCGGGCTGAAGGCCCACTACCAGTACTTACATCTGCTTTATTTTGGGTGTTATTGTCCGCTTTAACTTGTTACATATATCATTAATCTCATGGTCTACTAGGAAGAGGTTTCCACAATCTTAGGAGAAATATTTTGTTCCCCTCTCTAACCGAGGTTCGATCTCACAATCCACTCCCTTGAAGCCAAGCGTTCTCGCTATAACATTCTCTTGTGTCTTACTCTGATACCATTTGTAATAGCTGAAGCCCACTGCTAATAAATATCACATCTTTATAAGAAATGTTTTGTTCCCCTCTTCACCCTAGAACACTGTTCGGTGCTTGGCTCTAATACCATTTGTAATAACCCAAACCCACCGCTAGCAAATATCACACCCTTGTAAGAAATATATTTGTTCCCTTCTCCACCCTGGAACGCCGCCCAGTGTCTACATTTGACATCATTTGCAACTGCTCAAGCTCTCATCCTAGCATATATTGTCCACTTTAACTCGTTACATATCGTCATTAGTCTCACCATTTTAAAACACTTTTACTATGGAGAGATTTTCATATCCTTATAACAAATGTTTCATTCCCCTCTCCAACCAACCTAAGATCACACATTAAGTTAGACCGAAGCTTGAAAAAATTCTAAAAACTAAGCCATCGTGATTCTTCAAAGTTATGAAAATGATGTGCTTCACTTTTGAGATTATATCTCAATAAATTTGGATAGTAAAATCTTTTTACGACGCGGGATGTCACAATGATAGTAGCTAGGTTAAGAAGTAGTGGGGAACACGAAGGGATAATCAAAACCACTCGAGTCTAGGGTTGAAACCCACAAAGGAGACCACGAAAATGTCTCCTCAATACTTTATTCAAAACACAACTTCTTTTCACCATCAAATAAATCGTTTCATGAAAAAAGAGATTAAATTAAAAACATATGATATGAATCTTAGATAATATCAATAATAATAAACATAGTTATCAACAAAATTAAGTGAACAATAAGAACTCTTAAATTAAAAGATTTTTAGTAGACCATCATATTAATATTTAAATCTTAGCGGGTCCCACCCCGACCGGAGATGGCAGCTGCCATTGGAGTGGGGTGATACCATTTTTCAAAATCTTCCTCAAAATACATCTCTAGGTACGAGGTTTTATTGGAGAAGCTCAAAAAAGCCACGAGAATTTATGCTCACGTCCTTTTGTCATCCCTTTTGTCAGGCTGCAAATTATTGGAGCAACGACGGGTGAAATTCACCTGCTGCGGTACCACTGGTATTGCTTCTCCAGGTTTCATCATTTTGCAGCACGGCTGACACTAACAGTGGGCTTGTTCTATTGTGGGGCGCATCTAAATCAGCCCTGATAGCAGCCTGTGTCTTTACCACACGAGAAGAGTAAAGACCCGATCCAGAAGTTTCTAGAATAGTGGGTGTGGAGCTGGTTGTTTTAACTAAGTTGAAGAGATCAAATCGGCGGGAATAGGATGACCCACCAGCGGTAAACGGCGGGGAAGGGATTCCGGTGAACTCTTGCACCATTGCACGGAAATTCGTAGTGTCGGTTGTGAGAACGGTGGTGGGGGCTCTCCGTGAGGCTCTAGTTCTCTTCTTTGTGGTGGCTTTGGGATGTAAAACCCCGGATGAACGAATTGGGATTTGGTTTTGGGTGGGTTCCGCGGCGGCGGGTTGAGATGTCCCGGAGTTGGAAGGGTTGAAAGTGTAATCGGAGGGGAAATCGTAGAAAGGGGAGGAGGGGAGGAGGTGGGTCTGGTAGGAATTGGGGTTGAAGAAAAGTGGGGGCGGCGGTGGCGGCGGGGGAAAAGGCTGATGAGAGTCGTAATCTTCATCGCCGCCGCTGGAGGATTGCAAACTTGGGCTGCCGGAATCCATGTGTGAAGGTGGTTTGAGGGAATCAAAATGGAAATCTTTTAGTTGTCATTCAGTTGGAAGCGAAAAGGGTGAGGTGGGTGTGTCTAAAAAGAAGTGAAAACGCATAGATTGGAATAGATATGTACTAATAATGAGATGGAAGATCTAAGCATGGGCTAAGCCAAAGGAGAAAAAGGGTATAGCCATTAGGGGAGGAACGCTAGGGTTTTTTTTTTCTTTTGAAGAGGTGGACGATGGGTATTTGAATTAAGAGGGTTTGAGAAGTGAAGAAGACGCGTGGACCCGCCCTTTCAGAAAGGGGTTGCTAGCGACGGGTCAAACATGTCTTTTTGCTTAGTTTCCACGCCTTTATAAAAAATGTTTCGTTGTCTAGCTTTGATATTATTTATAACTGTTCAAACTCACCATTACAAGATATTGTCCTTTCTTGGAGTTTTCTCTGATATCATTGGTAACAATTCAAGTCTACTAGAAGTTATTGTCATTTTTTTTTGTTTTTCCTTACCGACTTTCTTGGTGGGTTTTCTCTAATACAATTTGTATCCAAAGATATTATCTTTTTTGGGTTTTTCCTTATGGGTTTTCTGTGTGAGTTTTTCCTTACGAACTTTCTTCGTGAGCACACCTCTCGATTTCCACACCCTTATAAGAAATGTTTCGGTGTCTAGCTTTGATACCATTTACAACAATTCAACCTCACCACCACAAGATATTATTCTTTTTGGCTTTTCCCTTACAAGTTTTTCCTCCGCTCGGTGTCAAGCTCTGATACCATTTATAATAGTCAAGGCCAACCACTAGAAAATACTGTCATTTTTCGAGTTTTCCGTTCTAAGCATTCTTTCAAAGTTTTAAAACTGGGAAGTTTTGTTGTTCCCTCCAATCGATACGAGATCTCACAATCATAAAGTCAAAAAAAGATTATTATAAGAAATATTTGGTTGTCACCATTATTAAAGTAAATAAAAGAATAGTATATAGTATAATTTGTGAACCTTCATATAAATCAAATTTGATGTAAAATGTGCTATCCAGACCATAGAATAATTAATAAACATATAATTTATAACAAACAAATTCACTTGCCAACAATAAAAACTCAACGGTTGCTCGTGAACCTTTGTTCTTATATATATATATATATATATAATATAAATGAAATTAAAATATTAATATTAGACCACCAACACGTCATAATTCCGCAACATAAATAAATAAATAAATAAATAATCAATATATTATAACGTCGATATGACATATTTTAGCCTTATTAAGAGACAGAATTTCCCCCATGAATTAAGGAACACTCGATGTTTTCATCATAATAATTCATTTTAATACATGTTTATTTAACTTCATTTATTTACAAAATTAAAAAAGAAAAAAAAAAAGAAAAGGGAATCCTGTATCCAGATCAGCCTTTGACTTAGTCAAAGCTCAGAAATATAAGATCAAGCTAGCTATGATTGAGAGCTACACCAGAGAATCTTTCTTCTAAGAAAATAAAATCCATATATGACAATTCAGCAATAATATTCATAATTACAGTAGATGAAATATTCGAATTATTATTATTTATATAAATAAAAAAAACAGAAATAAATCCATAAACGAAGTAACACCTGGAAGAAACAAGGTTATACTTACAGATTTAGGGCAGGAGATGTCGTTGTCATGGTGTGTACCCTGGATGGATCAAATAAGGCGTATCCTACAAAACCCTAAACCCTAAATTGAGGCCATACATACACACAGGAGACAACGGGCGGCTCCATTTCTCCACTCCTTAGTGCGCTTACTTGTCGACACCTTTTAACAAGACTCCAAAGGGTTCCATTGCACGTTGGCTTGCTTTGGATGTGCACGCGTGGGGGGGTGGGTGAGTTTGTTTCTGTATATCTTTTGATCGTCTTGGCTATTGCTGTTCCGATATCTCGGGCCTTTTTGGCTGTTGGCTGTGGTTGGTGGACTATTTCTTAGGCCCTTTTGGCCTTGTCACGAGTATAATTGACCATTTCTGGCTTGCATGGCTAGCGGGCTTGGGCTCAAGAAATAAGATAATGGTATGATATATAATGTTTACTTTGGCTTTTGATTTATCTAACCAAAACATGATCTTTCTCTTAATTAGCTAATGTGGGACTACTCGTTTCAATAATCATTAACAATCCTCCCCTCAAATAAAATACATCATACCTATGACCTATGAAACATGCGACAATAATACACCATACTTGAGGCTTATGAAACCCGTGAGCAGCCTCCCTTTAGCTGAGGCTTGACCCCTTTCTTTAGAGCTCTTGAACAAAGTACACCCATGGTAACACTTGAGTCACTTTTAACTGGGACTACTTATTTCAATAATCATCAACGATCCTCCCCTCGGACAAAATACACCACACCTGAGGACTTTCGATAACCTCTCCTTAATTGAGGCTCCACTCCTTTTTTTGGAGCTCTTGAACAAAGTACACTATTTATTCAACACTGGGTCAATTTTGATTACATCTTTGAGACTCACAAGTTCTTTGTTTGACATGGTTAAATTAAGGGCATAACTCTAATACCATGTTAGAGCTATGACCCTCCAAAATGGTATGATATTGCCCACTTTGAGCATAAGCTCTCGTAGCTTTACTTTTTGTTTACCCAAAAAGTCTATGATACCAATAGTGAGGGGGTTCCTTATCTATGATCTCCCTCTTGATTAATCAATACTTGGAAAAGAAACATGTGATACATGAGACTACGTCCACATAAAACTCCTCAATACATGGATTGAAGCACGTTAAGGTAGACGTGACTAAAACTCCAAATATTGGATACACCACGCAGAGTTGAAGGTATGTAAAAGCATGTAGGTTCCATACAGCTTGATTGCGATGAAGATACTCTAAAACCCATATGGGAAAGATGGTGGAAAAGGTGTTGCAAGAACGAAGGAATAAGGTTGGATCATAAATCCCTTCTCCTTTACGTGTTAGCCACCAAATACGCATCCCTATCTCTATCTCAGCCTTGAATCCCAAGGCTTGACCCCATGTGAGGCACCAAATACCAAGCCCTTCCTTCCATTTCAAGCTCTCCCATATGATCACACCTCGTCGTTGAGGCCACAACCACCGCCGCTTTATACATTTGCATGCCATCCTCATTTCCTTCACTTTGCGTAGCTCTTCAAACAACCACCAAACCAAAGCTCTCCTCCTCCTCCACCTCCACCTCCACCTCCACCTCCACCTCCACCTCCTTGCTTTGTCGGTGTGGTTGTCTTTTAGAACAAGGAAAGTGTTGCATACATGTACCCGTACTTGTCATTCTAAACCCACACAAATGGACCCCAATATGCCCTAAATTTTAACCTTATTATTATTTTTATCATTAGGATTATAAAAGAAAAAGCCAAATCCAGCTTTAGATGCCACACTGTTTTTATAAGTTGAAAACTTTGACTGCATTTTTCTTTTGCAATATCTTGAAAAGCTTTTTATTTGTATTTTAATAAACCCCTAAATATATTGCTTTTCTTTCGGCAACTCAATCCCCTAATATTGTGTCTCGAATGAAGATGGATTCTTTGTTCCGTCTCACTTAATATAAATATATTTTCAATATATATATATAGAGGCCCTTTCATGACTTCTTAACCTGAAATGGCAAATGGCTGGAAAGAAGAAAATTTCCTTTTTTTAGGGTACCCCTGGAAATAGATCTAGTGGAAATGGAGTGAAGCCTCTAGCTCGGAAAATTAGAGCACATGACTACGAACCACGGTGTCACGAGTTGAAATTCCTCCTCGCCCACATCTGACTAAAAAAGGAAAAGACTTTTCTAGCCCCCGCTCCATGCGTAGACATCTCTATCTGAATCGCATAAATGTAGAAGGAATTTTGGAATATGAAGAGGGGTTGGATGGGAGAAAGAAAATTAGAATTTTGGAAAGTCAATTTAGGAAGTAGCTAGGAGAGGTCGTGCGCCAAAAGATTAAATTTTCTTTTCAATGTCTAAAATAAAAATAAATAAATAAATAAATAAATAAATCAATGGATGTCCGGTGGTTGGCCTTGCACTCTTTACTTTTTCAGATTTTCCGAATATATCTTTGCCTCACCTTACACTAGGATAATTTTTAATATCACACCCTTTTAAAACTCTACCCTATTTTATAAATATCTTATTTAAAACTCAAACGCTTCAGGTTTAGGATTTAGATTCAGTGCTCGTGCGTCTCGACATTCTTCTGCAGACAAAGTCACATTGCTTACACCCTACATACCAACCCAACATAGAATTACTCCAAACCAAACACGTCACGGAAAATAAAAATTAACCATGGAGCCACCCAAACACAAAGTTGTTAGTATAAATAGTAATTTTTAATTTTTTAAATCTTTTTTAGTCATCTTATCATTAAAATTACTCTCATCTGAATATAGACAAAAGTATATTTTTCTAAGTTCACTTCAGAGGCTTTAAAGATGCTATCATTTTTAGGGACTATTTTCTAGTACCAATCACAAAGCTAATCTTAATTTATGATTTGTGGGTCCCATGCAAAAAATAAGGTAACAGGTTCCTAATTATATATATAAAAATAATAATAATAAAATATAAAATTTAAACTCAAATATCGTTAGTAATCTTTAATGTAGCTTTTTCATAAAATTTATATTATATAGTTCATTAATGCATAATACATTTAAGCATCTAATTTCAAACAAAAAAAAATAAACATATATTGGAATAATTCATAAATCATGCATGTTTTGTAACACAATGAAGGCAATAAAAAAAAATAAAAAATAAAAAAAGGTGGGAAGGGAAATTTAAAATAATAATGGAGAAATAAATTTTACAAAATAAAATTAAAAAAAAATTAATGGATTATTGTTTGTAGCGATATTGAATTAAGAAGAGTGTAAAGCGCGTGCCGACCCACACCACACCGACAGCTTTAGGGAGACAAAAAGTCCACATTTTTGTTACAATGTTTTTGTATGTATATTTAAATTTTTTATATTAATTTCAAATTTTGAATATGTCATTTTTTTTAATCACTATTAAATATTTTTAATTTTCATAATAAATTAAAAAAATTAGCTCAAACCCAAATAAAAATTAATAATAACTCAACACAATTTTTAAATTAGGTGGTCCAGATTGGTCGAATTCTCTCGAGATAAACAACACTATCCACAAAAAAACAA